CCCCCCCCCCCCCCCCCCCCCACAACAGGTACCACAGCTGGGGGCTGTGGTCTCGGGGTCCTGCACACCTGTCGCCTGACAGACGGGCGGGGCTGGGCTGCGTTCCCTCCGGAGGCCGCAGGGACCGTGTCCCAGCTCCCGGGGGCTCCTTGGCGCGTGGCCGCAGCCCCCCGGTATCCACGCGGCCCCCCGCCCCCCGCCGCGTCTGCGCGCGCCTGCTCCCACGACGGTCGGCCGGGGCGAGAGTCCTGGCGCGCGAACTTGGGGAGCACCCCGCCCACCGGGCATGGCCTTCCCTTCTTGGAAACCGCAGGCGCCCGGCAGCTACTTCGTGCTCCCCAATCCCGGAAACTACGCGGTGAGGCTGAGGGCGCACGCGCGCTTCCGCCAAACCTGGAGCGAGTGGAGCGCCGTCCGGCGCTTTGGTGAGTGGGGCGCCCTCTCACGACTCCCTGGCGGGCGCTCAACGCGGGGGGCGCCGCCCCGGGTCGGGGACGCACGGACCCTGGCGGGAGGCGTGCGCCAACAGGCCCCTGAAGAGGCGGCCTGGGAAGGCGGAGGGTGGGAGGAACCAGAGGGCGGGCGGACCCCCACCCCGGGGCTGGTGAGAGCAGAGCGTCCAGGGCAGAGGGGTCCTTCCCTTTTATCCCACACGTCAGGGCAGGGCTCACGGCCTGAGCAGAAGGCTGTCATCAAAGTAAGAGCGGCCACTTCTCCCTCAGCACGTTTGGAAACACACCCTCCCCTCCGGCTGCTCCCAAAACATCCCATTTCAGGGGTAACACGTAGGGAACCCCGGTCACTAGGGTCCTGGGGTTCCTGCTATAAATGACCGCACATGGCGGGGGAGGGGCTGGAAACAACAGAAATCTGTCCTTTCCCACCTCTGGAGATGGGAGGAAGTCTGAGATCCAGGCAGGCAGGGCCGCTGAGATCCATGCAGGGCAGGGCCGCTGAGATCAAGGAGGGTCAGGGCTTCTGAGACCCAGGCAGGGCAGGGCCAGTAAGATCCAGGCAGGGCAGGACCACTGAGATCCAGGCAGGGCAGGGCCGCTGAGATCTATGCAGGGCAGGGCCGCTGATATCCAGGCAGGGAAGGGCCTCTGAGACCCAGGCAGGGCAGGGCCAGTAAAATCCAGGCAGGGCAGGACCACTGAGATCCAGGCAGGGCCGGGCCACTGAGGTCCAGGTGGGACAGGTCCGCTGAGATCCAGGCAGGGCAGGACCGCTGAGACCCAGGAGGGGCAGGGCCACTGAGATCCAAGTGGGCAGGGCTGTGCTCCCTCCAGAGGCTCCAGGGCAGGGTCCTTCCCGCCTCTTCCACCTTCTAGGGCTCCAGGTGTCCCTGGACCTGTGGCCACGTGCTTCGTGTCTCAGCCTCTGTCTCCATGTGGCTTCTCCTGTGTGTTTCTGCCCCAATTTCCTGTCTCTATAAGGACAGTAGTCATGGGATCAGGGCCCATCGTATTCCACTGGGGCCTCGTCTTGACGTGATCATTTCTGCAGACTCTCTGTTGTGGACTCAAATGTGTCCCCGCGAATTTATATGTTGAAGTCCTCACCTCCCTCCCCCCCCCCCCAGGACCTGAGAATGTGGTTGTACCTGGAGGTGGGGTCTTTGAGGAGAGGATTAAGGTAAAACCAGGTCAGTGGGGTGGGCCCTGACCCCATAGGACTGGGGTCCTTCCAAGAAGAGAAGTTGAGGGCACAGACACGCGCAGAGGGACGGCCAGGTGCGGACACAGGGAGAGCGGGGCCTCCACCAGCCAAGGAGAAGGGCCTCGGGAGCAACCAGCCTCGCCCCGCCTGGATCTCCAAGCCCCGGCCTCCAGGGCTCTGGAAGGCACACAAGTCTGTTCTCAGGCCACCCAGCCTGTGCGAGTAGGTGGTGGCACCCCCACAGGGACCCCACCGCTGTCACGGGGAGCCCCAGGGCTTAGAAGACAGGCTACCCGGTGGGCCCTGGGGGGTGAGGGCTGGGGGCTGAGGGCTGGGGTGTGAGCCTGTCCGGCTGGCACCTGGGGCCTGGGGTTGGGGGCTGGGGCTCCCGCTGGGGCTGGTGCAGCCGGCCCCGTGGGAGGGACCCCCGCAGGGGCAGGTGGACGTTGTCCCCTCCTGGGCGCACCGAGAGCCTGCTGCATGGGGGAGGGGGGCGGCGGGCGGGAAGCATTGGCTCCTGGAGGCACCACGACCCCGGGGACACGCCGACGCGCCCCTCCCCCTCCCCTAGAGTGCGACCTCGGGAAGGACACGCACTTCCGAGACTGGCTGACCTGCGCTCTGATCCCGCTGGGCGCGCTGCTGGCCCTGGGGCTGGGGGTCGCGCTGTGCCGCAGGTGAGCGCGCCGCCCCCTGAGCCCCCGCCCCAACCCCCGCCCCAGGCGGGTCCGGGCTGCTGGGCGGCGCCACCCCGCCTCCGGGTCCGGCCCTGTGTGAGCCCGGACCCCGTGGTGCCATCCGGTCCCTGCCAACGCCGGTCCCGGTGCGGTGCCCTCAGGACCCCCCTGTGTCCCCGAACCGTCACTAGGAGTCCGCGGGCGCAGCCAGGCTGGCCTGCGTGTCCCCACGTGTCCCCGCTGGGGGGACTCTCAACGCTGGCCCACATTCCCGGTCCCCCAATGCGCTTGCACGGCGGGGGGGGGGGGGGGGGGGGGAGGGTCCGGAAAGCCTCCTCCTCCTCCGCCCCCTCCACTCTGCCTCCCCATCCTCCCTCCTCCTTCTCCACCCCCTCCTCCTCCCCTCCCCCTCCTCCCTCTCCTCCTCCTCCTCCCCCTCCTCCACCTCTTCTCATCTCACTCCTCCCCCTCCCTCCTCCTCCTCCCTGCCCCCTCCTCCCCTTCACCCTCCTCCTTCTCATCTCCCTCCTCCCCCTCTCCATCCCCCTCCTCCCCCCTCCCACCCCTCAGTAGACACCACACCCCCTAGTCCCCGCCCCGCGGGAAAGAGCACCGTCTGG